TCAAACCCACCAGCCACTCCTCAGAAGGAAGGTTGGGCAATCCTACTTCCGTAGTGATACCGCATCGGAAACCCAAGGAGGGGTCGCTATGAGTCGGGGCCAACTCGATGGCAAACAACAACAACAACAACAGCAACCCAGTCATTTAGTGAGAGTCACAAAGACCAAGCCTAGAAGGGCCATACCAAGCTATTTACTGCACCACATAGACATTAGAGAAATGGAATGACTGTGTATATTATGTATACATTTAACCTCGATTTATAGCAACCTTACATTGACACATTTACCTAATTTACCAGTTAAAAACTGCTATGTAGTCTTATTGAAGAAAACTACTATATATAAAATCCTGTCAATTTTGAGGAAAAGGATCTCAACCTTGAAACAGCAGACTTTATTTCTAACACCTACCTGTGTATGCAAAAAGAAATTTACAATTTAAGGGGCTGTTATAGGAATCTGTCCTTCAAAGGCAGTTAAATGGCCTCAATCACCTCCAACAAGGCTGTACCTCAGAGATTCCTGACACTCTTCCTAGAGCCACCTTCTGAATTCTGCAACCACCAGAGCTCCTGTATTTATTATATACAGTGTTGCAATGGTGGCATAGTGCCTAAAGCATTAGACTGCTAACCAGAAGGCTGGTGGTTCAAACCCACCACCAGCTACTCCTTGGAAGGAAGGTTGGGCAATCTACTTCCATACAGATACCACCTGGGAAAACCAAGAAGGAGTCGCTATGAGTTGGATTTGACTCTATGACAGTGAGTTTGGTTTTTTTGGTTATATACTGTGTTAGGAGCTCTGGTGGTGTAGTGCCTAAGGCATTTGACTGCTAACCAGAAAGCTGGTAGTTCAAACCCACCAGCCACTCCCTGGAAGGAAAGTTGGGCAATCTATTTCCATAGTTTGTTTTTTTTTAATACAGTGTTGCAGCATGTAATTTGCTGATTTTATCATTCTCAGATGTTCAATTTTATGATTACCTGTTCAAAACACTGCCATACAGATTTAGTTTTCTAAACTAAATTAAGAGCTTCAGTTAAAAACACGGGCCCAAATGCCGATTGCTTTGCTAAAGTCATTAGGAAGATTCAAGAAGCAGTTAGTACCATGAAATATATAAAGAAAACCGTCCTCATTCCCAAGGATAACTCAGATGACCCAGAACCTTCCACAGGGGAGTTATCACTGTAATTAACAAAATGTGTCATCCAACTCTTCAGTGTTAGAGTAAATTTTTATGATTCGCCTTATTTATTTATATATGAAAATATATCTGTAATTTATAACATTACAACTCCCAAAGGAAAATAAAGATCGGATTTATAAAGATACTCATAATAAAAGACAATAATGATGAAGGTCTGTATATGCACCAGGACATAGCTCAGGAGGCAGGAGTGCATGGAGGGATGGACACAGGGAAGAGGTAACTACGGGGAGGACATGGGAGAGGAGCTGTTGCATTGTGGTAAATTGTAGTCAATGTCATGAGACAAAGTGTTATGTGTGAACTGCTGTATAGAAAGTGGATTTGCTCTGTAAACTTTCACCCAAATCACAATTAAAAAAAAAAAAAAGCAATAATTATAACTAAAGGAAAAAAATGAGGTATTCGACTTAACGTCAGAACTGATTTACAATGTAGTTGTTGGAACAGAGCTCCATTCTAAGTAGGGGACTACCTGTATCGATTTAAAAAAAAAAACCTGAGTTTGTATACTAGAGTGTTACATGATTACTGCAATTATTTTTGAAACTTTGTAAAGCTACATTATTTTCTGTTTGACTATAACTTGTAACTGTTTCTTTAAATTTGTTCTCAAGCCTTTAGTCACACTTCACTCACTTTGTATCAGTTTACATCTTTTGCAGGAAATTGAATTGCCATGTTGACAATTGTTTTATATAATTCCATATCTTAGTATATATTTTTATATCCTCCTGTAGCCACATATGGGAGCTCTGGTGGCCTAGTGCCTAAGGCATTTGACTGCTAACCAGAAGTCTAGCGGTTCAAACCCACAAACCACTCCTTGGAAGGCAGGTTGGGGAATCTACTTCCATAGTGATACTGCCTCGCAGACCCAAGGAGGGATGCTATGAGTTGGATCCAACTGGATGCCAGTGAGTTGAGTACAGCCATGTAGGAGCTCTGGTGGCTTAATGCCTAAAGCATTTTACTGCTAACCAGAAGGGTGGCAATTCAAACTCACCAGCCACTCTCTGGAAGGAAGATTGGGCAATCTACTTCCATAGAGATACTGCCTTGGAAACCCAAAAAGGGGTCGCTGTGACTAGGATCTCACTCAACAGCAGTAAGTGTGGTGGTTGGTTTGGTATAGCCATGTATTTTAACAGGAGAAAAATGCATGTTAAACCTAGTAATTTGATACAGTATTTGCTGAGTGAGAAAACAAATACAGTAACAAACTCTAAGAAATGACCATTCTTTACATTCTAGTCAATAAAATTAAAGGGATATTTTATATGCTGTAGATGTGTTCGTAGGCAATAATGTATACATCAAAGTTTCATCAATACATAATCATAACTGAACTAAGAAAACAATTTTGTAACGGATAAGGCATTTGGCTGCTAACCAGAAAAGAAGTTCAGTGGTTCAAATCTACCAGCTACTCTGTGGAAGGAAGATGGGGCAATCTACTTCCATAAAGATTTAAAGCCTTGGAAGTCCAATGGGGGTGTTGGAATTGACTCGATGGCAGTGAGGGTTTTTTTTTTTGTTTTTTTTTTTTAACTTGCGTTTTTTGAAGTCTAATTTCATGTTTGGGCCACAACCATCTTAAAAATTTGTAAGCCTCACCCACATTGGACTACAATTAGAAAAACATTCAGGAAAACAATTTGGTGTACATTTATGGAATCATTAATGGCTTACCCAGGCCTGTTATATACAGCTTAAGTAACTAGGCTTAGCTAACAAGGCTGTACACCAGAAATCTGCACACAGTGTGGAGTTAACAATAATATTTGTGGGTGTCCAGCTGTTAAGCCATTAAGAGCCAGACTACCTCTGTTGCAGGCAAGTGTAACATTTGCCTAACACATTATCTTTTAAAATTCTTTTTAACATAACCGAATGCCCTCCTCATATTCTTTAGGCCTAATGGGCCTCCCCTCTTGAGACTCTAGCTTTACAGATAGTGATACAATAATCCTACTGGCAATAAACTTTTTCTTTTCATAAACTGCTGCCCAGTGAACAGAGTTCCATTTTAATAGATCCTTTTCATGAAAGCTTTTATCAAGAGAAATCACAAATTTATCACTTTTGTACATAGCCGGTTCCTTAACATGTCCTAAACACTTGTAGAACAAAAAAATTTGGCTAGTCCTTACTGTTGGTAGGTGCTGTCAAGTTGGCTCCGACTCATAGCAACCCCATGTAGAAAAGAATGAAACACTGCTCAGTCTTGTGCCAGCTTCACAAGCCTTGCTATACCTGAGCCTATCATTGATTGTAGCACTGTGTCAATCCATCTCGTTGAGGGTCTTTCCATTTTTTGCTGACCTTCTACTTTACCAAGCATGATATCCTTCTCCAGGGATAGGTCCTTTCTGACCACATGACCAAAGTAGGTAAGATGAAGTCTGGCCATTCTTGCTATTCCTTAGTTTATTAAAATTGGTTCTGACCAAATCAAAATATATAAACATCTGTCTTTAAAATAGATTGTGTAGACCACAACTGTAAATTCACTATTTTAAAATTAGAAGTGCACTATAAAAAACTCCACAAAAACCAAACCCATAGCCACCCAGTCAATTCATAGTGATGTGATTTATAGTGACCCTACAGAACAGGTCAGAACTGTCCCCTAGGGTTTCCAAGCCTGTAAATCTTTCCGGAAATAGACTGCCCTGTCTTTCTCCAGTGGAGCACTAATGGGTCTGAAATGCCAACCTTTTGGTAGCAGCTAAATCCTCTAACCACTAGACAACCAGACTCCTTTCTCTGGTCACTACAGTTAGTATAATTAACAGAATGGCTATCAGGAAGCTTGTCATTCAGATACCAAGTATTTTATATTCAGCAAACTTAATTTTATCAAATGTCCTTTAATTTCATAGAAGACAATATGATACATATTGTATAAGAACACACAATTGTTTTCCAATACAATTTCAAAGTGTATACAAATTGGAATACAGAAGTTAAACACTGGTGTACTGACAGCATTTCTGAACTTCAGATAAATTAGTTGCATACAAAACGTACAATTCAAATATTAGCCAATCTGAAAACTTCCCATAATATAAAAATGATAAATTTGAGTTACAAAATATTTTTTTACTAAACAAACTATATAAACATTTAAAATAATCATTAAAACTCAACATTAGAATTTATAAAGATTAGCTATAAAAATATATTGGCAGTCACTTTTCTTATGAAGGTACCATTCACTACATTACAAAAGAGTTTCTAACATAAAATTGCATTAACAACTGCACTATTTTTAGAATCTGATAAACTCTAAATTGATTATAAAATCCTCTTGGAAAAACTTTGGTAAGCATGTTCAGAGGGTTTTTTAAAATCCTCTAAAATCATTTTAAGGGCCTGTAAACATTCCGTTCTATTGAAGCACAACAGGATAAGTAATGTATATTCAACTGCATACAGAATATAGAATCAAAACACAATTTATTATATATTTGTAGAAAATTACCATTCCCAGAGTAACCGAGAACTATTTTAAAGTATTAAGCTTTTAAATAGTTAAAAGTATCAAACTTTTAAATAGTTCTCTTTCCATTCTCATAAAAAAATTACAAAATCATCACAACTCCATTTATGTACCTTAGGTGCCTTTTACAAGACCTCAGAAACAATTAATCTAGTCTCAGAAACTCTCAAGTCCAATAAACTGTTAACAACCCATTTAAAAGGCTTGACAACAGAACAAGTATACATAATCAGAATACGTAATTTTTCTATTTAGTTATGTATTAGTTTTTCTTTTACATTTGTAATTTAGAATTTACTGGCAGAAATAAGCCCACACACACGTATTATTGAAAAGGTAAATTTCAGGAAACAGTAAGAAATGCAAACCTTGAGGGTATATTGATAAATTTTTTTAAAAAATGCAATTTTAATTTTATCTGCCATTTTTGTATTACTGATAACTATTGTTAATTAGAAAATCCAGATCGCTCAAAGTTCATTTCCTGCGTGCGTCTCCAGTATGTTAATTCTAAAAAGCTCCCAGTTGTGCCAGCAGCCTCCTTTAGGTCATTTCCCGCTTGATCCTCTGCCATTGGATTTCTTGTATAAGATATTATCTTTGAGTTGCAAAAGCCGAAATAAAAAGCTTCATCTTTGACCTTTTAACTTAAAAAAACTCCATTAAAAGAAAGGAAATCCATCTAATTCTTAGGCAAGTCCACAAAAATATTTTCTTTTTTAAGTGTCAAACACTTTTATGGGAATAAAGATCCTTCAAAGTTTTTAACTCTTCTATTAGAGTTTTATTTTGATTTTCCAGAACAGCAACTCGATTTTCCAGGCATTTCACATATTCTTTCTTCTTTCTGCGACATTCTCGAGCGGCTTCTCTAAATACACGTATAAAAGGTAGGGGGAGGGACAATGTTAGAAAAATGTCACATTCTTTAAATGGTAAATGTACCTCAGTAATTCTCCCTGGTTATCTTTTTTTCCTCACTTTAAAAAATTGAGATATATATATAAAATCTATGTTGTTGTTGTTATGTGCCGTCGAGTCAGCCCTGACTCATAGCGACCCCTCCTTGGGTTTCCAAGGCAGTATCACTACGGAAGTAGGATTGCCCAACCTTCCTTCCGAGGAGTGGCTGGTGGGTTTGAACCGCCAGCCGTCTGGTTAGCAGGCAAGTGTCTTAGCCACTATGCTACCAGAGCTCCCAATATACAGTGAAATACTCTTATCTTCAGTGTGGCATTTGATCAGTTTTAGCAAATGCATCTGCCTGTATAATCCACACCCTATTAAGATAAAGGACATTTCCCATACCCCTTCCTACTCAATCCCTTGCTCAAGCAACTACTCTTCTGACTTCCATCACCAGTTTAGTTTTTCCTGTTCTAAGAACTGCATAGAGCAGAGTTATACAGCCTGGGTTCCTGTGTCTGCCTCCTTTCACTCAGCATATTTTGAGGTTGCGGCATAGTGGTTTGTCCCTTTATATTGTTGAACATAAATTTTATTGTATGATTATAAGAACAACTTGTTTATCCATTCTCTTGGGCCGTTTCTAGTTTTAGCTGCTATGCATGTTCTTCACAAACTGCAAACTCACTGCCATCGAGTTCATTCCCATTCATAGCGAACCCCATTGAGTTTCTGAGGCTGCAAATCTTTATGGAAGTAGACTGTCCCATCTTCTGTCTGTGGAGGAGCTTCTGGGTTTGATCTGCCAACCTTTAGGTTTGCAGTCAAATGCCTTAGGCACTGTGCCACCACAGCTCCTTAATGGATGTTCTTACAACAGTCTTTTTTGTAGATACATGCTTCAATTCTCTGGATAAATATCAAAGAGTGAAATTTATGGGTCTCTGGTCAACTTCTGACACATAACTTACTTAAATTAATTTTTATTAAGTTTTAATTACAACTAGTAATTGAATGGGAGCTCTGGTAGCATAGTGCCTAAGGCACTTGACTGCTAACCAGAAGGCTGGCGGTTCAAAACCACCAGCCACTCCTCGGAGGGAAGATGGGGCAATCTACTTCCATAGTGATACTGCCTTGGAAACCCAAGGAGGGGTCGCTATGAGTCGGGTCCGACTCGACGGCACATAACAACAACAACAGTAATTGAATAAATAATCAGTTCTGTGTGTCTTCTTAGAACATTTCTGTGAAGTCATATACAAGTTATATATACATAAACACCAAACTCACTGCTGTCAAGTCGGATCCAACTCATAGTGACCCCTTCTTGGGTTTCCATGGTGCTATCTCCATGGAAGTAGATTGCGCAGTCTTCCGAGGAGTGGCTAGTGGGTTTGAACCGCCAGCCTTCTGGTTAGCAGTCAAATGCCTTAGGCACTATGTCACCAGAGCTCCTTATATGTATACATAGAGAAGTAGAAATTGATGAGTATATTTTACTTATACTATGTACTGTAGATAGTATAAGTAAAACACACTCAACAATTTCTACTTCTCTATGTATATGTAACTTATATGTGATTTCACAGAAATGTAGATGGGAGCTCTGGTGGCATGGGAACTAAGGCATTTGCCTGCTAACCAGAAGACTGGCAGTTCAAACCTACCAACTACTTCTTGGAAGGAAGATTGGGCAATCTACTTCTGTAGGGATACTGCCTAGGAAACCCAAGGAGGAGGGGTTGCTATGAGTTGGAACTGGCTTGATGGCAGTAAGTTTGGTTTGTTTTTTTGCTGTACTGTAGATATTATTTCCGATTTTTTTTTTTACATCCTTTTAATGATGTTTCTATGTCAATACACAGATCTACCTTATTCTTTATTTTTAAAACCACTGCAGTTATCTGTAATATAAATACGTCAGTATATTTAACCTCTCCCTCACTGAAAGACTTTTAAGTGGCTTCCAACTTTTCACTATTACACAATGCTGTGATGAACATTCTTTACATGCCCCTCATCATTTGAGTATTTCTTCCTGGCTCACAAGTTATGTTCATTTAAAATCAAGAGACATTAAGAAATTGCCCTTCAAGGGAGCAAGTAGTTGGAACTGTGGGCTTGGGACCATCATGGAAGGAGACATCAAACTCAACTGGCATAACATACGACACAAAAACATTGTTCCACATCCTTGGTGATGTGGTGAGCAGTGACTGGGATCTTAAAAGCTTGCAAGTGGCCATCTAGATGCAATGATGGGTCTCTCTTTATCCAGAGGAAAGAAGAATGAAGAAAACCAAAGATGAATGGAAACAATTAGTCCAAGGGACTGGTATACTATGTGATCCTCAGCCTATATGACCATGAGACCAGAAGAACTAGATGGTGCCCAGCTACCACTGTCAACCACTTGGAGGGGGATGTAGGAGATCCTGGATAGAGAGGGAGAACAATGTGGAACAAAACTCAAAATCATAAAAAAAAAAAAAAAAAAAAGACCAGGTTTGCTGGTCTGATAGAGCCTAGTGAGAGCACAGAGACTATGGCCCCTAGTTACCCTTCAGGTCTGGAACTGAACTCACTCCTAATTAATTACTAATGATAAGATGTACAAAAAAAAGAAAAGATGGTCAGTAAGCACAGTTCACTGTAACTAGAATACATCGTAAGTCAGAGACTACATTTAAAAAAAAAGAAAAAATCCTGTAATTTTCTTTTTATATAAATTGCAATTTTTCAAAGCTAAGTGGCTTATTTTTAAGTTTATAGATCTTTTACATGAGTGGAACTGTTAGGTCAAAGAATATGTACTGTAAAACTTCATATTTCCATCAGTAATATCTGCAAAGTACTCTTTTCCTCATATGCCTGACAACAGTATCATCACTTTTAAATTTTGCCATTTGATGCCTCACTATTAATTTTCATTTCCCTTACCAGTGAGACTGAACATCTTTTCAAAAGTTTATTGATTTGCTTTCTGTAAACTACCTATTTCATATCTTTTCTCTATTCAGATCTTTTGCCCATTGTTCAAACTGTCTTCCTTATAATTTTTAAGAATTCTCTGTGCATTATACATATTTAATTTTTTATCTATTTTCATTCTTTTCTAATCTACCATTTACGCCTGATATTTTCATAGTATCTTGTGTTGTAAATTAAAAAATATATATTAATGCTTTTAGCATCTTTATTTCTTTGCTTACATAAAAATGTCCTATAATATAAATTTTTCTCTAAAACTTTATTTTAAAGATTTTACTGTTTCATTTTTCATGAGTCTTTTGTCTATCTGGAATTTGTTTTTGTAAATGGTAAGATAGGGGTCCAATTTAATTTTCTTTCAGATGTAGAGTTGCCTATGCCAGTATAATTTATTAAATAAGCTATTCTTCACAGGTATACTTAAAAAGCACAAGAAGCTACCAGAATACCAGTTTGGATTATGATGGCTTTAGAGGATCTTTCAATACCTAACAAAAAGAAGTAATCACTTTCTGTTCTTAAACATTCTTGAACACTTATTTTTTCTGTGAAAACTTTCACCTTATTTCACTCAACTTCATAAAGATCTATAAGGATTCTAATTTGAACCACAATGAATTTATGCATGAATTTTGGAAGAACTGACGTTTTATACTATTTCTATCTAAGAATATGGTAAATTTTCTATATGTTCAGATATTGTTTTAGCTCTCAATTAAGATTTTTTCATGTTGATCCTTTGCCTTTTCTGTTAAATGTATTCCTAAGTATTTTGTATTATTCCTGAGTAATATGTATATAATATTATTTCTCATTATTATTTTCAAGATGGTTACTGATAACAGAAATAAGCTATTGACTTACATTTTATCTAGACATCAACCTATGAATTATTTTAGTTTTAAAAATTTTATTTTACTATGAAGAGCTCTGGTGGCATAGTGCCTGAGGCATCTGACTGCTAACCAGAAGGCTGACAGTTCAAACCTACCAGCCACTCCTCAGAAAGAAGGCTGGGCAATCTACTTCCGTAGTGATACCACCTCAGAAACCCAAGGAGGGGTCTCTATGAGTCAAACAACTTGACGGCAGTGAGTCTGGTTTTGGTTATGAAGTAGGATGCACACAAAAGATTGTATGTGGTGCAGATGCAAGTTATGAAGCATAAAAATAAAATGAACACATGTAAACCCATATTACCCATATTGTTGAAGGGACCTCTGTGCCACACTCTGATTCCAAACCCCTGCCTCTTGCCTAGAAGCAATTACAAGCTTCAATCCCTTATCTTTATAGCTTTTGTGCATGTGTATATGTCCCTAAATTATACAGCATTTAGTTGCTAATTACCTAATATAAAATATATTTTATGGACTGTTGAAAATTGCTTTTTCCACTCAAGTTTATTTTTCTAAGATTTATTTATGTTGACATGATAGTTCATTCAATCATTGTTGTGGGTTGAATTGTGTCCTCCAAAAAGATATGTTATGTCCTAACCATTTGTACCTGTGCAAGTGATCTTATTTATTTATTTATTGTTTTTGTTGTTGTTACTTATTTATAAATGCTATTGACAGAAATGTAATTACAATTACAATATACAAATTAAAGGTAAACATACTATCTAATCAAAACACAAGACAATTCTTTCAATGAAAATGGCTATCATCATACCTGTCATATGCCTTCTTTTGTTTGCTCCCTCTCTCCCTTCCTTTCTTCCTTCCTTCCCCCAGGTTAATTTGTGTCTGCTCTCTAGTTAATGGTTTACCCTCCCTTTCTCATCCACCCCTGGTAATCATCAGAGAATATTTCTTTTTCTATGAAACCCTTTTCTTGACTTTTTACAGTAGTGATGTGACCTTATTTTTGAATAAAGGTCTTTCAAAGGTAGTTAATATGAGGTCATGTTGGAATAGGGGTTTCTAATCCACTATGAATAATGTCCATATAGAAAGAGAAGAAGAA